CTCTTTCCCCAACACCCCACAGAAATACCTCCTTCTCTTCACTCATCCTCACTTGATTCAGTCTTTGAAGCTCATTTTAATCCTGCCTCTTAAATAAAATCTTCTGGATACTTGGATTATTTTAAAACTCCTCTTTCACTTGTGTTCAGTACCATACAGGTGAGCACTTAGTTGTTTTCTAATTATTTTTTGTCTGTTAATTTTAACTCTCCAACAAGATTGTCAGCTCCTTGAGGGCAGGGGACACAGTTTATTCCCCCGCATCTGCCACTGTGCCTAATATACTGTGGAACTAGGTTTCAAATAATTTCTTGATTGCAGTTGTTACAGGTAGGAGGGCAACCAGACCGTCTCCTCAAAGCAGGAGCTGGCTATTTATTGGCTACTCCATATATCTAACCCCTGGTAACTTCTACTCATTATCCTCAGGCCATTATCACTTTGGGGACTGGGGGTGATGCAACGTCCTTGTTTTCTTCTGACGGGTTGTTAACTTGGCCTCTCCAAAAGATAAGAAGGAAATGTTTAAATCACGGATATTCTAAACTGTTGTCATTAAGCATACAGGGTACTTAGAATCATAGAATCTTACAATGGGAAGGGGCTTTAGAGATCACCCAGTGCCCAGCCTTTCCCCACCCAATACAAAACTTCCTTCAATACCATTCCTGACAAGCCTCACTTTTCTATGATCTTACGAGAAAGCCACCAAGATCCTTTCAAAAACTCATTTTAGGTAGATATGAATTTCATTGTCAGTTTAACTTGTTTTACAGTTTGTAAAGTATTGTCGTTATTGATTACCACGCCAGCTCTCATGAAGAAAGGGGATTTTTTTAAGTTACCAGGAGCTAGAGGGAGCAGTAAATCCTGTTAATGGAAGCATGGCTGGTGCCCAGTTAGCCTCTGCAGGGCTTGAAAACCCTCTTAAAGAGGAGGTTCTGAGAACTGTGTAAGAGAGAATGTCTTTGGCCAGCATTTAAATCTATGCCTACTTTCCCAATTTTTGTCACTCCTTACACTGCAGATGATTTTCAGTGCTTCCCAGCGGTGATCCCAAACGTCTTAACTAATCATGAAACTCTTTAGCTCCTTTCATGTAACTCCCCCTGAAAAATCTAAATGTTTCATAGTCTGAGAGTCTGACCCAGTTACCTTGCATCTCACTGGTAAAGTGGACAGTGTATAACTGATACCCAAAGACCATATGTTTTGACTAAGTAGCTATGACATATATATACATGGTAATCATTCATCATTTATATATACATGTACACTCTCTAAGCAAATAATTAAGTGCAAAGCAGTATTGACATATATACCCTGTAGTGTGAAATATTTTCTTTGTTAAAAGACAATGCTATCAATAAATGCACCACTGATCAGAAAACAAGTCTTGGTTTTTTAATGTCTCAGACATGTACCTCAACTATTGCACGTGTAACAGTAATTCTCATGTGTCCTTATTCATTTGGTTTCATCTCAGATAAAGTGTAATTGAGATAAAGACATGGAAGCTCTTTAAAGTGCTCTTTGGAGACATAAAAAAAACTTCAGCATAAAATTTGACAATACCTTATAACAACATTGACTTACAAGAGTTTATGCGGTATGCAATTTATTTCCTAATCCTCAAGGGCAATGCTATTCCAATAAGAATATACCCAGGAGACCAAAAATGTCCTGACTCTTTTCCATAACCTAAAACTATATATGTTTAAATATTATAAAGCCTCAAGTAGTTATGGAGACCTAAACATAGGATAAGTTATTCCAGAGTCCAGAAAACTTGGGCTGGAGGTATTATGCAATATGGAGTCTCTAAGAAGGCTGGGAGTGGACAGAGAATACCAGCCTTGTACGTTTGAGATACACTTGAGAGGCCAGATATGTGTGATATTTGGGCAGGTAGCAGCTGCTGATGGTGAACATAACAAAGCCCACAAGGACCTTAACCTGAGACACAGCAGTATGCTGTGGAGAGAGCTAAGATTCTGGCTTCTGAGATATCTGAGTTAAGATCAATCCCACCACGTATTAGCTGTGTGACCTTGGTTCAAGCACACTTTTTAACCTCCCTGCACACCAAGTTCCTCCTCCAGGATTGTTGTGAGGAACAGGCCCAGCACAGATCTTGGTGCATAGCAAATTCTCAGGGTCAGTCCCAGCCTCCCCCGACCGTTTACCTCTGCTGCACTTTCTTCGCAACAGAGGGTGTTTCACATCTCATACACACAGAGAAATGTTTCCAGGACTGAAAAAATAGGTTGGAGAAATGAGATCAAAAGCCTGCCTGACCAGTTCTCTGTATCTATTTTTTTATACCCATAGTCCAGACCATCATTGTCTCTCTTTTTTTTTTTTTTTGGCGGTATGCGGGCCTCTCACTGTTGTGGCCTCTCCCGTTGCGGAGCACAGGCTCCGGACGCGCAGGCTCAGCGGCCATGGCTCACGGGCCCAGCCG